CGGGATGATGAGGATGAGGTGGGAGAGGATGCTAACAATGAGGGAGGAGAGGAGGGTAGAGGACTTCTGGGATGGGGGCTATGGAGAAAGCCGAGGAGAGTGGACGCGGCAGGAGAACGGCCATGGGAGGACGGCGACGGGAGGCCGAAGACGGCGGCGACCACGCATGGGGCGGCCCGAGACCTCAGGAGCTCGGAGCCAGCGCCGCAGTCTTGACGGATGGCGGCGGTCCTCGGGGACGCAATAATCCGAGTCAATGAGACCTGGGTCAATCTCGCCATCGCTGGGACGTCCATTCCCCGTGCATCTTTCGGCTTCGTGCGTATCTTTTCGCATGATGGGCCCAAAATGCTCCTCGGTGGTACCCGCCGAGAAAAAATGCACATGTGCTGTCCAAGATATCTGCAGGACCCTGCGCGCTAGCCCGGGTCAATGCAGCCCTGGCTCTGCAGGATCCTGCAAGAGCCGGCGATCTGGCTGACCCCTTGCTTGCAACGACCCCCGCCTCAAAACTCCCGAGGTCCTCAAGAGCCCGCGGACATGCTGAAGACCGGCTTCGGCTCCTCGACGGCCTTGGATGCGCAGGAGGAGGAGGAGGAAGAGGAGGAAGGAGGTAGAGGAGAAGGAGGAAGAGGAGGACGAGGAGGAGCTTCGGGCCCGAGCGGGCCTGGAGCTAAGCGTGTCGCCCTCTGGTGGGCAGAACGTGCACACGAGATCGTACCCAGCGTATACTCTCTCACTCTCTCTCTCGCTCTCCCTTACATCTTCACTCTTTCACTCCGCACATCCTATACTTTCATAGCCATTTGTACGCGTTGGGGCGCTTCTGGATAACATGGCGGTCCACCACCATTCTCCAGACCGACTAGATAAAGCTGAATAAGCGAAACGACGCGTATGGCGCTCGTCGAGAACTGGACGACGACATGGACATGGGAAGACAATGGTGGACATTGATGATGTATTCGAATTGATCGGCAAACCGACACTCGTGCGGTATTACTTTGAACCGTCCAACGCGAAGATCAACAACTTTGTTGCTGGCAACGAAGTGCGCAATACGGTAGGTGCTTCAACTTCAAGTCTTACTAAGAATGCTCCTGAATCCTTACACAGTGACGTGGGACAGTAAAATTGTCAACGTAGTGGTTCAAATCTACAGTTGCCAGAGAAAAAAAAGCCACTGCTTGTCTCGCTCTTGTACGTGTCACCGCCTCCCTTACACACGCCGCGCATAGCAGCGTGCGACACAGACGCTCCCGACGACGCCCTTCTCCACCTCTTTCCCCTCCTACGCCTCCCTGCCCAACTTCCTTCCCGACGACCTCCTCGATGACCCCCTACCCGCCTTGCCCCGCAACCCCGCCCTTCGCCCAAACGACGCCGACGACGATGCAGTTCGCGCCTTCCCCAGCGACGACGACGACGACGACGACTACCCGAACGAGGGCTTCTTAGATGAATAGAATTGGCTAACAGACAATACGGTTACATCATACAACATCAAGTCTGATTTTTGGCTAGGCGAAGATATGTTGTTAAACGACGACAGTACGGTTAACATGTATTTGGTTAGACTAAGAGATATGGTTAGAGGGAGAAGAAGACAATCCAATTTTGAATACCACACAATACGGTTATACCATTCGTGGTAGACTTACCAGAACTGGTGTTCCATATGATGACTTGGACACGCAGCATATCGATCGTACGAAAGGTGTTCCCACCACGATTCAAAAACTTCATCTGCGGCTGTTCCAGGGTATGTCGACTCTGCAGTGGATGCACACGACGAGCTCATTGGTCTTATTCACGATAACCTCTCGATTTGTGACTTCGCCCAGATTTTGGAGAACACGGATACGAATGGTGTCGAGCGGGGTACCACCCACGACCACATTCCCACTACCGTCCGTGATGCATTCTTCGCGGCCGCCACCGGGTACGGGTACGCACGCACATATGTTTGTTGTTGGGCGCGTCTACGACACGTTCGTCTCCTCTCTGGTTGCGAACGGGATCCCTGTACAGCAGTACGTGCAGGAGCCATGTGCGGACGAGGCGGGCTTTGACTCCAAATTCGTCATGATAATGGGACCCATCACCTAGACACAACAACTTCCACACCCAGCTCGCCAGTATAGCACCAACGCTGAGTACATTACCTCAATGCGCGTCGCCACCATACACTTTCCCCTTCTCGCTTCCTTTCTCCTCTCCCCGTTGTGGGACGAGTACGGGTGTGTGTGTGTGTGTGTGTGTGGTGTGGTGTGGTGTGTGTGTGTGTGTGGTTCGTGTGCGTGCGTGGGTGGCGGGTAGGGCGGGGGGCTGTAGCGAGTCCGGCGCCGTCAGAAACCTTCGGAGAAGGCCAGTTCGCATTTTCAGGCCTACGCTGTTCGCGTACCCCGCGGACTCCAGGCTCACATCTCTGAGAGGCGCTTGTCGAGAAGGGGGAGAGAATGGAGGAGATTGTGGGCGCTCGGTTGCTTCCTGTGCAACCCGCCGTGGGCCGAGCACCTTGACCTTGTGGCGTATCTTCGAGCGCAAGGGCCCCCGGGACGAGCACAGGCCGAATGTAGACTCGCTTCTCGGACCGCTCCGCCTCCACACTGCTGGTCGTGGTGGTGGGCCCTCGAGGTACGTGGCCACCGTGGCAGACCCTGGAGTCGGCACAGTCGGCACCTCTCGGCTGTTCTGCGTACAGTCGGACTCGATAGGACAGGACGTCGCGAGAGGACAGACGACCCTTCCGAGGGCCACATTGCCACAGGAATGTAGGCAGCATAGGTCGCGAGACACAGGACACAAGGGTACCCTTGATTTGGCAGGGTCGACCTAAGAAATTGGGCCGACTGTATGTGGGATGTCGCTGCTTTCTGCCATCTGTCTGGTGCCTGAGGCGTAGAGGGAGCGGTGCGGGCGAAGGGGCGAGGGCCTCTGTGGAGGGATACCAGGCCGCGAATCTGTTGGGCCGCCAACCTCGCAAGTTCAGGCCGCCAGTGTCATGCTTAGATCCTTGGGCACGCAATGCACTGCGCCTGCTTCCCAAGTGCAGGCCGGCTCCAGGAGAGTGGGGGAGGTTGGGGCTGAGAGGAGGAGGAGGAAGAGGAGGAGGAGGAGGAGGAGGAGGAGGAGGGGGGTGATGCTGGATGGGAGATCGGGCCGCCAATGTATCAAGCCATGCCACCAATTTTGCAAGTTTAAGCCGCCAACCTCATGCTTACATCTTTAGGCACGCAATTCAATGTGCCTACTTCCAATACGTAGGCCGGCTCCAGGAGGAGTGGGGGAGATTGGGCCATGGAGGATGTGGCGGAGGAGTGTTGCTCTAGGAGGAAGATCAAGCCGCCAATCTCCCTAATTTCGGTTGCCAACATCGCAACTTTCGGTAGCCAGTCTCTCATGCCTGAGCCGCCACTCGATGAGCACGCAGTGTAGAGCGACTGGTTCCCAAATCCAGGCCGTTGTGGTACAGGGAGTACTGGGCGTGTCGACCGCCAATGCTGCAGTACTAACACAAACATGAATTCTATTGCCCAGGACCCTCGGTGAGGGCAGCATGGAGGAGGTGAAAGTAGTGGTTATGAGAATACTGGATGTTGGCGGGGGAGAAGAGCAACATACTGTGCGAGTCGACCGCTGCGAGCGTTTTGACAGCCAAGACCTTCGGCCTCGGCACCGTTTCATTACAGCTCGACAGACATCGGTACATTTGCCCGAACCGAGCTCAAGGCATAAGAATGTGAACCCTGTGCACTGTAGGCCTTCGTTAAGGGTCACACGTGCTCTTCAGCAGCAGAGCGAGAAGACACATATTCAGTAAGACGAGTGCCCGCATTTTGATTGTTTATTAGCTGCCCTCAGGGAGGGCACGAACTGCCCTCGATGAGAGGGCCCTTGCCATGGGAGGGGTCGGGGGCATGTGGGATAGATGTTGGGAGCAGTGGGAGGGGAATACTTTGCTGACGCCTGCAGATTTGATACTTTATGCCCTCTCGGGCTTCTCTACTTTTCTGTGCCTCCTCGCAACTCCTGCTCTGCTTAGTCTGCATTCGGTGTTTTTTACTGGTTGCCGCACACGAGCGCTACAGGCTTGCACCCAGAGTCCGCTCCACGCAAAAAAAAAGAGGAGGACGAGGAGGAGGATGGCGGACGGAACGAGGGGGCCGAAGACGAATATGGAAGTGTGACACCTACTCCGACGCTGTTCCCGCCCTCCTCCCTTCCTGACAGAATCTTTGGAGTCCCGAAACGGTGCGGTGACGGACCGTGTGGTGACCTCCAAATCCCCCAAGACCTCACCGCACGGTCCGTCACCGCACGGTCTTGGGACCCCCGAGGCCCCTGTCGCCCGAGAAGTCATCGGAGAACGACCCGAGTCCCAAAACCGTGCGGTGACCCCGAATCCCCACCGACTCACCGCACGGTGTGGTCACCACCCCGTTTGGGGGTCCCCGACGATCGCTCAAAGACGGGTCCTCTCCCCGGGATCCCTGGGCGCCGAGAGGAGGAGGCCAAGACTCGGCCGACTCCCGCCGAGCCTGGGCCTCTGGAGAGGTCCCTCTTTAGGCTGGAGAGGTCCCAGGGCCCGCGTGCACACTAAACGTTGTTTGACTGGCACTCTAAACGTTTTTTGTTGCCTCTTCGGACGTGCACGCTAAACTCCCATAGAAACGCGTATCGAATGCACGCGTTGTTTGACGTGCACTCTACACGACCCCCGTTTAGAATGCACGTCAACGTCTCCATGTGCACTCTATCTGTGGCTACTTTACCGTAGAGGAACCAGCAACGGCATAGGCACAGTTTCTCAGAGGTTCGCGCGGACCTCACCCCCCCTTGCAAACAGGAGCCCAGGCTTACCCCGGCGTCGAAAAGGGGGAGGGGGGGGGCTTTGGACCCCCCCTTCAAAGGCCGGCCCCAGCTCCCCAAAGGGGAGAGCTTCTGAAGCACCCCCCCCGCTAGTGGAAGGAGGGGGTTGGGGTAGCTTGAAGCTGGGTTCCCCCTGTCGTTCGTCGTGTCTCCCGCAACGCGCTCTTTCTCATGTCGAGGTGCATCCAGAGACCTCCAGGGCAATCTGGTTCAGATCGTGGATGCCCCAGCGCGAGTCGAGGGACACCAGAGGCCGCTCAGCCCTGAACGATGGGCGGGGGGGCGGAGGGGGCTCGGGTCGGGTCCGCCGAAAAGCCTCGGGCTCAGGTTTTCGGTTTCGGTGTTTTCCGGCTCTCGGCGGCTTTGCAGCCTCGGAGCGTGCTCTGCAGCAGCGGCGCCCCGTGGCACGCGCCGAGCGGCGCCCGCCCCGATCGACCCCCCGCGCGCGTGCGGGGCGCGGAACTCGGCCCCCAACGCTGCCGTGCGCACTGCCGTGGCCTCCGCCGTGTGCGTGGCCCCCGCCGTGGCTGTGGCCCTCGCCGTGGTCTCCCCCGCAGCAATCCCCGCCTGGGCTCGGGCGCGGCGGGCCGCTCGCGTGCCGCCACGCCTCCAACGCTGAGTAGGGGCAGAAACCGTGACGCACACAGACACAGGCACAGACAGACACACGCACACAGACACACACAGAAACACACACACACGGACACAGACACAGACACAGACACACACACGCACACGCACACACACACAAACACACACACGCACGCACACGCACTCGCACGCACACAGACACAGACACATACACATACACAGACACATACACATACACAGACACATACACAGACACAGACACAGACACAGATACAGAGACAGACACAGACACACACACACAGACACAGACACAGACACAGACACAGACACACTGACACAGACATAGACAAAGACACACACAGACACAGACACACACAGGCACAGAGACACAGACGCACAGCCACACACATTCACACATGAATACACACACATTCACACACACACACTCACACGTTCACACACAAACACGCATTCACACATTACCACACGCATTCACACGCAAACACAAACACACACACATACTTCCACAGACACACACAGATTCACACACACACCACACACATTCTCTACTTCACACCGCCACACACACACACGCACACACGCGCGCTCACAAACACACACACACACACCAAGACTCGGAGGTCCGCGCGGATTCCTCGGATCGGCGCTGGGCCCCCCCTTGGGGGTGCGAAAACCAACGCCTCGCCCGAACCATCGTCAAAATCTGCTCCGGCAACGGAGGATGTTGAGGGCGCAAATCGGCAAACCGCTCGAGATTCCCGGGCAATCTTGGCGCGAACGGGCCCGTGAAATACCCCCTGGCGCCCTCCTTGAGGGTACGAGCACCAGCGCCTCGCCCGAGACATTCCCTATCAGTGTTCGGAGATGGGAGGATGTTGGGGCGGCGTCATCATCATCATCATCATCATCATCATCATCATCATCATCATCATCATCATCATCATCGTCATCATCATTATCATCATCATCGTCATCATCGTTATCATCGTCATCAACATTATCATCATCATCATCATCAGCATCATCATCATGAACATCATCATCATCATCATCATCATCGTCATCAACGCCACCATCATCCTCCTCATCGTCATCACCATCATGATCTTAGTCCTGACCATCATCATGGTCACTATCATCGCCACCATTGTTGTCATGATCATGATGAACACATCGTGCTCATCATCATCATCACCATCATCATCATAACATCATCGTCGTCACCATCATCATCGCAGGGCGTGCGAAGCAACATCCTGATCATCGCCATTATCAACATCATCAAGAAGAGGGGGTGGGATTATCGTGCTCGGCGCGGTCGGAGTAATTGCTCGGCGCGGAGATCTGCATGATTTATGTGCATATCATTTCCCTGGCATGTCCCTCTGTTGGCACGTGTCAATGAGCGTCTGTGTAAGAGCGAATCGCTGGCTCGCGACATCCCCAACATCCGAATCGCAAGTATGAGTTCGAGGAAATCCGATTGAAATTGCATCTAAATGCGAGTGAGTCTGATTTTGAGTGGGTCCAGGTGCGCGTGTGCCTGAGTGTGCGAACTTTGAGTGTGGGTGCGTCTGAGTGTGATTGGGTCTCACTGCGGCACTGCAAGCAACAATACGTGGCTCGAACAGGGAGAAACAAATGTGTTCGTCCCTCACCAGCCGCCAAAGCAAGCCACGTTCGCCTCTCAAGAGAACAACGCTGCCGGGACTTGCCGTCGGGCAAGACCGTTCGCACTTGGCATCGGGCCGACTGTCAGCTGGGCGCAGCTGGGAGCGAGGGGAATTGGAAACTATGCCGTCAGCACAAGAAGCCGACAATAGAAACGAGGCCGCCTTCATCCTAATAATATGCTCCGAATGCAGAGGATGTTACGGTCCGAAGCAGGCAAACCACCTGAGATATCCCCACAATCTGGGCGAGAATCCTGGAGTGTCCCCACCCCTAGCGCCCCTCCCCACATTAGGACCCCTGAAACTAGCGCCTCGCCTGACACATCATCAAACCCTGTTCCGATAGCAGAGGATGTTGGGCACGCAAACGAGCAAACCGCCTGAGACATCCCCACGGCATCCCCACACTTTGGGCGCGGGTCTTGGAATGTCCCCACCCCTGGCATCCCCCTCCGCACCACCACCATCATCATCATCATCATCACCACCATCACCATCACCATCACCATCACCGTCACCATCACCATCACCATCACCATCATCATCATCATCATCATCATCATCATCATCATCATCATCATCATCATCATTATCATCATCAGCAGCAGCATCATCATCATCATCATCATTCTCGTCATCATCATCATCATCATCATCATCATCATCATCATCATCATCATCATCATTCTCAACATCATGAACATCAACATCATCATCAACATAATCATCATGACCAGAATCATCGTCGTCATCATCATCATTTATTCAAATTCTCGTGCTCTGCCTGGCCGGAGAAAATCTTCAAACGCTGCTTAGAACGCAAACGAGTCTGGCCACGAAAACAGGCAAACCGCTTGAGACATTCTCGCAGTCTGGGCCCTCTGGGGTGCGCAAGCCAGCACCTCGTCAGAGACATCCTCACAACCTGCTCCAAAATGGAGGATGTGGGGGGCGCAAACAGGCAAGCCGCTCAAGGCATCCCCGAAATCTGAGTGAGATGCCCCTTGCGCCCCCCCAGTCGGTGTGCGGAAGCCAGCACCTCGCCCGAGACATCCTCAACATCTGATGCGAAGACGGACGGTGCTGAAGGCGCAAACAAGTAAACCACTCGAGACACCACCGGAAACTGGGCGCGAACGGGCCCGTGATATACCCCCTGGCTGCCCCCCCAGTGGGGGTGCTGAAGCCAGCACCTCGACCGAGACATCCTCAAGCTTTGCTCCGTCATCATCAGCATCATCACAGTCATCATCATCATCATCAGCACCACCACTACAATCAGCATCATCATCAGCATCATCCTCATCATCACCGTCACCATCACCATCACCATCACCACCACCACCATCATCATCATCATCATCGTCATCATCATCATCATCGTCATCGTCATCGTCATCGTCATCATCATCATCAGCATCATCATCAGCATCATCCTCATCATCATCATCTTCAACATTATCATCATCATAGTTGTAACCATCATCATCATCATCATCATCATCATCATCATCATCATCATCATCATCATCATCATCATCATATCATCACCTGGCTAGTGCCCCTGAGTGTGACTCTGAGTAACACTGAGTAGTGAGGAGGAGGACGAGGAGGTGGGTGTTCGTGTGTGCGTGCTCGACGCGGTCGGAGTAATCAGCCGATCCGGCGTGTGAGTTTCAAGGAGTCTCAGCTACAGCCTCGAGGCTGAGCCTCAGCCTCTGGGGGGGTTGCCAGGGTGGCTCTGCCGGGGAAGGGGGGGTGGGGAGGGGGGGGTGCGAGTTTCTGGCGGATGCGTTTTTTGACACCCCTCACACGGATCGTGGCCTCCGAGGGGGGTCTGAACTCGAGTACCATCCCTCCCGCACCAAGAGGCTCCGAGGAGGCCTCCAAGAGGCCCCAAGGGGCGCAGAAGAGGCCCCCAAGAAGCCCCAAGAGGCTCCCAAGAGACCCCCAAGAGGCCCTCCAGTGGCCCCAAGAGGCCCAAGAGGCCCCCAAGAAGCCCCAAGAGGCGCACAAGAGGCCTCCAGAAGTCCCAGCCAACCACGAGATCCCAACCAGCATCCATGAGGCCTCTGACCCACCACCCACGCACGGTGGCGGGATAGGCCGACGGCCACTGGATAAATGCTGAGTGAGAGGAGGGGAGGGAAAAAGAGAGGAGGGACGAGGGCGAAAAAGGATCACATCAGTCGGAGCGCCCCGGATCGGCGGCACTGGCCGAAGGCCACTACAATAAATTAGTCACTGCGTGGAGCCCTCATATGTGTATCTATTTGCATGGGCCTGTCCGCCGTGAATGTCTAGACACAAAGGTTTTTTACTATAAACGGGCTTGAGGTATGAACGGGTTTTCGTATGGTTGGGTCTGAGTGTCAGTTAATAAGTGTAGGTATGAAAGAATCTGGGTGCGAGTGGGTCTAACTATGCCTACGTCGGAGTATGAGTCAGTTTGAGTGAGTGAGTCTGAGAGTGGGTAAGTCTGGGTGTGAGTGGGCCTGACTCTGAATACAACTGGTACAAGTCTGAGCCTGAATGGGTCTGAATACGAGTGTGTCTGAGTACGGGTGGATCTGAGGGTGGGTGAGTCTGATGTGAGTGATTCTGAGTGTGAGTAAGTATGAGTGTTAGCTTACTTGAGTATGAACATGATGGGTATGAGTCTGAGTCTGGGTGGGTCTGAGTACGAGTGAGTCTGAGTACGAGTGAGTCCGAAGGTGGGTGGGTCTAAGTGTGAGTGAGCCTGAGTGTGCGGAAATCTGAGTGTGGGCGGGTCTGAGAACGAGTCTGATGAGTACAAGTCTGAGTATGAATGAGTCTGAGCACAAGTGAATTTGAGAACGCATGGCACTGAAACATCCTAGCACGCTGACCACCAGGGGTGCGGAAACCGACGCCTCGCCCAAGAAATCCTCAGACTCTGCTCTGAACGCAGACAAATCTCGCCACCCAAACAGGCAACCCGCCCGAGACATCCTCGCAATCTGGCCCCCCTGGGGTGCGACAGCCAACGCCTCGCCTGAGATATCCTCAACATCTGCTCCGACAGCGGATGATGTTGAGGGCGCAAACGGGCAAACCGCTGGAGACATCCCCGCAATCTGGGCGCTCACGGGGCAATGAGATACCCTCTGGCGCCCCCCCCCACTTGGGTGTGCGAAAGCCAACGCCTCGCTCGAGACCACCTCAACAACTGCGCCGGAAACGGATGATGTTGTTGAAGACACAACCAAGCGAAAAGCTCGAGACATCTCCGTAATCTGGGCGCGAACGGAGGATCGAGAAACCCCCTGGCGCCCGCCCCAATTGGGGTGCTGAAGCCAGCGCCTCGCCAGACACATCCTCAGACTGTGCTCGACCACTATTATCATCGTCACCAACATCATTGTCAGCATCATCATTTCATAAGCCGAAGACGGGCCACATCATCATCATCATCATCATCATCATCATCATCCTCCTTCTCCTCCTCCTCCTCCTCATCATCATATTCCCCATCATCATCACCACCACCACCATCATCATCATCATCATCATTGTTGCCATCATCACCAACAACACCATCACGATTATCCTGATCATCCTGGTCATCATCATCAACATCATCATCATCATCGTCACCATCACCAACAACATCATCACCATCCGCAATCATCGACATCACCATCATCATCACCAACGCCTCGCTCGAGACATCTTCAAACTCTACTCCGCAATCATCTTCATCACCACCATATCGTCATCATCATCAATATCAGCAACATCATCATCATCATCATCATCATCATCATCATCATCATTGTTACCATCACCATCAAAAACCACAACGCCATCCTGATCAACCTGATCATCATCGTCAGCAGCAGCATTATCATCATCATCTTCGCCACCACCACCACCAGCATTATCACCATCAGCATCGCCATAATCCTCAACCTCACCATCATCACCACCAACGCCTCGCTCGAGACATCTTCAAATGCTACTCCGCCATCATTTTTATCACCACCATCACCGTCAGCATCACAATTGTTGTCGTTATTATCACCACAGTCATCATCAGGGCATAACCTAAGTCGCGACCCTGAGTGTAATTCTGCGTGAGGCTGGGTGAGTTCGGCGCGGTCGGAGTGAAACAGACCCCATCTTTTAGATATGGGTGGCAAGAACTCCATCCTTAGGACACGGGGAGTAACAAGAACTCCATCCTTAGGATGTGAGAAGAACTGTTCCATGTGCAAGCACATCTATCATAGTTGTTGTAAGCATGATTGCCCAACCAAGGGCCATGACGTTGTCAAAGGTGGAGAAACATGTTGTTAAGCTTAGTTGCACCTGCGCGTGGAAATCAAGTCTGCGCTTTTTGCTTGGGAAAAAAGAAGTCAGGTGCGCAAGCGCAGGCAGAAGCAACATTTTTAACTCCGAAACTCGCAGAACAACAAAGCAAAGGTATGTCTTCCAGTCACTCAATCAATTTCAACAAGATTCCTCATGTAGAGATAACAGCAACGATTTCTTCCGTGGTTGGGTACAGAAGGATTAGATTGGTGGCGGCCGCAAGAACAAGATTCTTTCTGTGGTGGACTGCAACGGTTTTTTTGGGGGGGGCGGGGTACAACACAAATCCTTCGGCCGAATACCAACGGATTCTTACGTGACGATTCAAACAAGGATTCCCTTTGCCGCGTCATGCGCCATATCTCCTTCTGTGGTGGAGTACAACAGAATTCTCCGCCTTCCAAGACATGCATTCGGAGATGCCCTGATGCACCGAAAGGTTTGCTTGGGGTCCTTTGTGGTAAAAGCACATTGTTCTCCTACGTGGCTCCTCCGAAGAAAAAGCGCAAGGATTGCAAAACCGAGTGCCCCAATAACATGTAAAAACAACACATGGTTTTCCAACGTGAATCTTCAAAACAATCTCTGCGCGCGCTCTTGCGAAATCTAAAGAAAACCACATTATTGAGCATTGTCATAACATGCAGCAAAACGGGCCCCTCGCGCGAGCATGTCGGAGTCGTTCGAACGCCCTTGCGCGCGTGCTGGGGGACGGCACGATCTCTGTCGAAAACTACCATGTGGGCAACTCGCGCCCGTCGGCCGCGCGCGCGTGTCGAAATCCTTCCAACACCTTCATCACCGACGCCGCGTAGACACCATCGTCGCCATCGGCGTGATCCACATCGGCGCCGTCATTGGCCTTGCCGTCATCATCATCGTCGCCACCACCACCGCTAATCATCGTGTCTGCCCCTGTCCAAGTCGCCATGATACCGCGCCCATCCGAGCCGCCGGCTTGCAGTGAAGTGCGCGCGCGTCAGCGCGGCCTTCGAGACGCGTTGGAAGGGCCCAGCCGTCAGCGCCACCGTGGCCGCGTCAGCCGCGCTAGACTAGCTGGCATTTCTGCGCGCGAGCCTGCGGGCGCTAGCGCGGCCGCAGCGAGGCGCCAGCCAGCGCCAAGCAGCCGTCGCAATCGCCGCCGCATGGGCTTTGCCAACCAAGATGTGGGTGGGTGGGTGGGATGTTTGCGCGAGCGGTGGAGTTGACAACTTCAACTTCGGCATGATGAATTGCACTACGTATATTGCACCACGTAGATTGCACACCGTACATTGCAACGCGTATATTGCACCACGTATATTGCACGACGCAGATTGCACAACATATATTGCACAACCTACATTGCACCACACACACACGCACACTGCACAACATAGATTTCGTCACATAGGTTGCACACCATACATTGCTAAAAACACACTGTTTGAGGTCCACGCTGGCTAACACTTGTAAAACTCTGAAGAGCCTGGTTATGTTCGCCCAGGGATTACCCTGTGTTTTTGTTGAGTGTGGTTGCGCCCATCGGTTGCCCGCTCTCGCTTAATATATTATGTCGGCAACAAGTTCCTCCCATGAGTTGCGCCCAGATGATGCGCGCTCTCGCCAAGGAATTCCTGGTGGCCACAGGTTGTGCCCATGGGTTGCGCCATAGGTGCATTGCGTTCCCTCCTTGTCCTCCCACTCCCCTTCCTCCTCCCCGTCTCCTTCCCTTCCATCTGCATTCTCGTGCCCTTTCCCCACTTCCTGCTCCTTCGTCTCCTCCTCCGCCTCCCTATCTCCTCTCCCCCTCCTCCTTTTCCTCCTCCACCTCGTGCCTCTCCTCCTCTGTCACCTCCCCCGTTGCCTCCTCTTCCTCCGCCTCCTATTCCCTCCCCTCCTCCGCTTCCTCTCCCTCCTCCCTCCTTCTCCTCCGCTTTCGCCTCCCCCCATACTTATCCTCCTCTGCTCCTCCTCCCCCTTCCCCTTCCCCCCCACGTTCCCTCCCTTTCTGCTGCCTTTTTCTCCATTCCCCCCCTCCACGACGCTTCGGCTCTCCGATCGCGGCTGCGGCCACTGTGGCCGCTGGCGTGGGAACCCTCGTGGCCACCTTGGGGCAGCTTGGCGGGAGAAGGGAGGAGGGGGCGGAGAGCGGAGAGAGGGGGAACAGGAGGCGGGAAGGCAGAGGCAGAGTAGGCTGAGGAGGTGGTCACGATAGCCATCGTCTACGACGGACCTGCAACATGCGTCTGGACACGAGGGGGGGGGAGGCGGAACCGGAGGTGACAGAGGAGAGCATGGAAGCGGAGGGGGCAGAGGAGGAGAAGGAGGTGGAACAATGTGCACTTGCGCCAAAGACAAAGAGCCGGAATCACTAGGGCGCGCGCGCCGCTGGCATTCCAATAATGGGCCCTCCATGACTCAAGCGGAAAAACGCAGAATTGGAAAGGGAGGGGGAGATGAACCTGGAGGCGGGCAGGCAGAGAAAGCAGGAGGGGAGGGATGAACGAGCGAACATCGACACACCAGACTTACAACATGCGTTTATACGCAAGCGGCGCATGGTCCTCATGCGCTTGTTTTCCATTCTCCTCATCCTCCTCTTCCTCGTCCTACTCCTCCTCCTCTTCGTCCTCCTCCTCGTCCTCCTCTTCCTCCTCCTCCTCCTACATTCCTCTTCCTTATACATAACTCCTCCAGGGCGGGCCGGGCTTTATCGCGTGAGACTTCCTCACCATTTATGATGACCATAAAGCTTAACACATTGGCAACAATTTCACACATAAAAGGCGGACCGTTTTCAAGATGTGGCTCCCGCCTTAGCGCTGCTCACATTCGTTTCAAACATTTGCAAGAGTCTCACAGATTGAGGGCGGGCGGTGTTCAAAATGTGGCTCTCGCCTCAACGCCGCGCGCATTCGTTTTAACAATTTGGCAGAATTTCACGGTTTTACGGCGGGCCGGCTTCAAAACATGTCTCTCGCTTTAGCGCCGCCTACATTCGCTTTAAACATTTGCAAGAATTTCACGAAGTGAGGGCGGGCGGCGTTCAAAATGTGGCTCTCGCCTTAGCGCCGCGCGCATTCGTTTTTAACATTTGCAAGAGTTTAACGGATTCCCAAGGTTCACGTACCAGGCATGGCCCTTCGGAAGGACTCAAGACTGTGAGGGCGCGACAGTTACGTTGATTCGCGGTGGTGAAGTCCCAGGAATGGCGTTCTGGCGCGATTCAGGATCGTTCAGACGCAACAGTCAGGTTGATCCGCGGCGTTGGAGCCCCGAGAATGATGCTTTTGCATGCTGCAGGGAGTTCGAGCGGTTGTCTCCCAACGAGGCAGTTCCCTCAGTGGACATGAGCCCTCCTAGGGGCATATGAAGAGGTAGCTTGGAGTGAGGGTGTATTCCAACACCGTTGATGAATCTTGGGTTTACACTGGTCCTCCTCCTTCTCTTCCTCATCCTCCTTCTCCTCCTCCTCCTCCTCTTCCATCCCCCTCCATCCCTCCCTCGCTCCTCTTCCTCCTCCTCACCCGTGCCCTCCCGTGGCTACTGGTCCCGCTTCTCCTCCAGCTGTTCCTGGTCTGGCTCTCCTCTCCTCCGAGCTGCTTCCCGTCCTCCTCCACGTCCTGGGGCGCGTTCCGGCCAGGATTATCATTTGGAAATCGGCCATGACGACGAAAGGCGCCCCAGCGATGCCCAAGAAGAGAAGGGGCCTCCTCCTGCTCGCTCCCTCTCGGCCCTCCGCCCCAGCAGCGCCGCCACCGTGCCCGGCGTGGCCGCCAGAGTGGCCGCCGTCGTGGCCGCCTCCAAAGGGTGGAAGGGTGGGGCATGCCCAGCGCGAGAACGCGATCGGGGCGGGAATGGGGGGAATGAAACCAGGGATGCGGCAGAGGAGGCGGAGGAGGAGGAGGAGGATCAGGAGGAGGAGAATGGGGGAGAGGGGGGATAAGGGTGAGGGCAGAGAGGGGGGCATGAGGAGGGCGGAATAATCCCCTAGGTTCTCCTGCAAGTCCAACGACCAGGGTGAAGGCAGGGAGACGGGAGGAAATGCGGCACCTGCCGCAATGGGGTGAGAAGAAAACGGATTCGATCCTGGCCGCGGCTGTATCGGTTTCCGGGGTCGGTTCCTATGCCGCATTGGCACTGAATCTCGCGCGCTCGCAAGCCACAACCCAAAACTGAATGACACACGCGAAAGTTCAGGAACGCAGGAAGAGGATAAAATGAAGAGGCGGATGGGGAGGAACAGTTGGCTTTCATCAGCTGCCCCTGGACGGCGAGAACTCTGGTGCCGTCAGAATCGGCTCAAACGATCTAGGCAACGGGCTTGCCGAGGCCGATCGAATGGTCGGGGCGGGGGGAGTCGAGGATTAGAGGAACAACGAGCGGCATAAACATACACATTCGACGGTCTGCGCGCATTTCTTGGATCTGAGCTAAACCCCCCGCCTGGCACGCGGAGCGCGCCAGGGGCGGCGCCAGAGGCGCCGCTAAGGGCGCCCCAAAGGCGATCCAAGAAATCTGCGCGGAACTGCGAACGTTTATGCTTATGTTTTCTGTCTTCCTCGAGAGATGGAGGATGATGGGGCGGGCGGAGGAAAGGTGCGCGACTCTTGACTGCTGCGCGGCCACGTCGAGCGGAAGTCAACAGGGCCCCATAAACCTGCCAAGGGGCCGAGAGCTGAGACTGCTGATCTGACGCACGTTCTGTTCTTTCGGGCGCCCGAAACGGATTCGGGAAAACGTGAATGCGATTGGCGGGTTGCCGATGGTGCCCCTGGCCCAATGTGCCCTGAGTTTGTCGCTCCATTCTGGAGCCCCTTGGGCCCCTTGGGCCTCGCAGGTGGCGCTATGGAGGCCGCGGGGAGAGAGAGAGAGAGAGAGAGAGAGGGGGAGAGAGAGAGAGAGAGAGAGAACAAAAAGAGAGAGAGAGAGAGAGACAAAAAAGAAAGAGAGAGAGAGAGAGAGAGAGCGGCCCGTGGGGAGGCGGGTAGTCCGCCTGCCCCGGCAAGGCGCCGGGCCGACATTACCGGCGAAGTGCGAAAGTACCCCCAAGTGTGACAATGGGGAAAAACAGTGCGGGATGAGACGATTACCGCGGCGCGGCGTGACAGACATCGAGCGTCAGAAAAACAATTGCACGCAATTGCATGTCTGTCCACCTTTTCCGCGGGCGGCCTGCGCTTCTCCTTGCGTTGGCTCGAAACCAAGGTGCCCAATCGACAAGTCTCGCACTCCATCTGCGGTCGGCGGGTGAGGCTGCCTGCTAGCTTTCCTCCTGATGCCCATTTCTCTTTCCAGAGCATTGGCGCCCAGTCGCTCGCGCCGCTTCGCGCAGCAAGCTGCGTCCTGGGCCGCTGCGAGCGTCCAGGTCCTGCAGGCATGCAGAACGCAGGCGCCAAGCATGCTTTGAACAGTCTCAGTCGCTGGTGGATCTGGAGGCGCTTGCAGCACAATGAATCGTGGTGGCGGGGCGCGGCCCATCCGGAAGCGAACCAATTCCCAAATTCTGCTTCGTGGGTGCCATCCAAATATAGTTTCTTACCAAGCTACTTCTCGGACTCGTCGTGCTGGAGCACTCTCGCATTGTGCGCAAACCGCGTGGTGACCCCGATTCTGAGACGAAGCCAAGGCGAAGATACATTCGGGCGAGGGTAAATCGAGAATCTCTGAGATCTGGCGGTTCTGGAGAATTTCTCCGGCGCTGCGACCTCGTCAGAGCGTTCCAGAACGCTCCGAGAGCGTCCCGCACCGCCCTGAAACGGCTTTATCCTCGCCCTCTAGCCCAGCCCGGGCATCTCTACCGACTCGCCACGCGGCGCGCCCGACCTGTCCGTCCTGGTCCGCCCATCTGCGTGCTCGTAGCCCTCGCGCCCGCTTTGAGGCTCCGCTCGCCCTGCCCGCCCGTGTTGAGCAGGGACCGACCGTCCCGGCTTTCCTACAATCCTACCACGAAACGTCTTAGAACCCGGAAATGTTCTAGGAACATAAGCAACGTTCTTAGAACGTAACCCCGATGTGTTAAAACAGAACAATCCCAGCGAGAAATGTTCTGATAACATTCTGTGGAAACCTCTGAAGGTTCTTAGAACATTGTTAGGTAGGTCTATAAGCGAGCCAGGACGCTTCGCCACTGCTTGACCGTGCGGGTCCGCCCGCCCGGCCCGCCGGTCAGGGCCCTGCTCGCCCGACCCGCCCGTCGGGGCCCCGCGTGCCCAGATTGTGGTTCGTCCATCCTGCCCCTCCTGCCGAGGCATCCTCGCCCTCCAGCTGCCTCCCTCCCTCTCGCCCCCTCCTTTCTGATCGTTTCCCTGTCTTGTTCTGTGGTTGCACAGGCCTGGCCCCAGGCCGCGGTTGCCACAGCTCCAGTCAGTCAGAGCGGTACCGAGCACGCCATGCGCCAAGCCGTCGTCGAGCGAGCCTCCTTTTCTCCTTTCCTCGCCCTCTCTCCTTTTGCCTTGTCCTTCCTCCTTCCTCTATTTCAGAAGCCGCGCCAGGTATAAGCTGCAGGCAAGGTAGAGAAAACCACTCAAGGGGGTACGATCGAAGACGAAGAGGGTGGGTATGGAAAGTTTGGGGGAAAACATGTTGAGCGACGCGCGGGCAACGAGGAGCGAACAGCCTTGAATTAATTATAGTTGTTGCTGTGCACGATGCTGATTGCGGTGATGACGGTGATGACGAGCTGCGCCAGGACGACGACAGAGCATGAAGGAGAGACGAGGACAGAGGGAAGGGGCGCATGAGCGACGATGAGCGAAGGGATTGTACATGATGAAGATTGCCAGCCTCCCCACTGAAGGGCAGGGGACTCCACCCTGCGAAGCACCAGCCATAAAGGCGAAGAAAGTGGAGGAGCAGGGAAGACTGCCAGGCTCCAATGTAGAGCTGTGTTCGCAGCAGAATGGGGCAGCGTGGAGATCCAGGGACCGTAAATACATCACGGCACTGACGGCGTCGGCATGGCCCTCTCTGCGAGAAAGTGCGGCAGTGCCCCGCTCTGCTCAAACTGGTGCGCGTGCCGCTCCGCGGAACGGCGCGCGGTGCTGCCAAGCAGCTCAGCAGCTGAGGCATGACAGAAAAAAATGATAACACAAAAATGAGACAGCGAATTAAGAACGCGACTGCGTAACTAAGGACATTAAGGAACCAGGACAGGTAACTATTGGCAAACCCTGTCTCGTAGAGGAGTACTCCTCCAGCGAGACCGTCTCACAATCCACTGCCCTCGCAGCGCGTCCGGCAGCATCACGAGATTACGATGCGCACTGCAAACGCTCGTGATAACGAGGCCGTCAGGACACGCAAAGTTGTAAATCATTTCACCCACGCTCGATGTTTGGAAACATTGGGCCAGCACGCGGTTCTTCGAGAGGCCAGACGACTGTGACCCCGTTGGCTGCTGAAGGGCGGGTGCTCCCCTCTCTCAGCAAGCCTTGCGGGCAGAAGGCAGGGTCTCCAGCGAGACGGCACGGCCTCCCGGCACCACGAGGGACGACCGAACAGCTTGAGGAGCCTGTGCAAGGCAACGCAAACGTACCACACGCCATAAGCGATAACGCCGAGAAAAGGCCGCAGCACGGCCTCCGGAACCACGCGGAACATGGCGAAATCCTGTCTGCAAACTACCGCAACACGGGAAGGAACCACACGTCTCAATGGCTTAAGCTAACATTGTTACGGGAGGGGATTGTGGGCATGATGAGGTGGAGGAAAAACGACACTGGGCGCCGACAACAAATTGGCACGCCCGAGATCGGTATACAAAAAAAACATGGGTACAACGCCCAGCAGCAAACGGCGTCCGAATCCGACAACTGCCACTGCTTGGCAGGCGACTTCTCGTCTCCAGCGGGCACCGTCCGCGGCGACCCAGGGCAGCGATGCCTGCTTAAAGTTGCAGCACATGTTGTCCAACTCTGACAGCGGCCACTCTTGGGCAGGCGACCCCCTGTCTCAAGCGGATACCGTCAGCGGCGAACCCGACAACGATTCCCTGCTCAAGCTGGACTGCTGCCGATCTTCTCGACCAGCTATAACTGGGGGAGCTGTGGTCCTTACCCCCATGGGGGAACCCATCGCATCGACGATCTCTCGCGAGGGGTGGTCGAAATCGATGGGCCCCCCAGGGGGCAAGGACCACAGCTCCCCCAGCTGTGGCTGGCCTGTCTTCGTCCCCAAGTGCTCCGGCTCACACGTTCAAGAATTTCATGCCCGCCAGGCCCGCCCCCCGGGCCGGAACAAAAAGAAACACGTAAACGCGACGACGGTTGCCTGCGCCCAAAGCGGCCAACACGCGCGCGGCTTGCAATAGATTCGCGCGAGCGGAACCCCCTCGCTCCGGTTTCAAACCGCCAAAGCCTCCATGTAAACGGCCCAAAATGGCCAGATGATGCTCCGAAATCTTCCAAGACGTTCCCCAAGGGGGGCCCACATTGCAAAATCCGTCTCGTTTCCTTCGTAAGACATAAGCTTTTAACATATTCGCGTCTTGGGCTGTCGCAGTGCCGAAAACGGCCCAAGAGGCTTTCAACATCGCGCCATGACGGTCCACTCACTCATTCACGCACAAATCGTACGCCGAAAAGGCGCGCAGACGCAACTAAAACATGCAATGCCGGGCGTCCAATCGTTCCTCGGGCGCCCAATCCGCTGACCCCTTGTGGGTCCCCAGGCGCGTGGAATTGTTCCCCCCAAGACGGCCCAAGGGGCCCCCAAGAGGGGTCCAAGAGGGCCCGCAGAAGGCCTAAGAAACCCCCAAGATAGCCCAATAGGGCCCCCAGACGTCTCCAAGAGGGAGCCCAGAGGACAACTTTTCGAGCCCTCGGCCAAAACGCCCCCAGCCTTCCCAAAAACCCCCCAAGAGGCCACCAGGGAGCCTCAAGAGAGCCCCAAAGGCCCCCAAGAGGCCCCCAGGAAGCACCCAGGAGGCCCAAAAACTACCTCCAAGACGCCCCCGTGAGGCCTCTAACGAGATCCCATCAGCCTTCCGAGTGGTCTCAACCCAGGCACGGTGGCGGGATACACGGCAAGCCATGGGAAGGTCATATGGTCGACAGGATCGAAGCAGGCCGGAGAAGTCACATGGTCCAGAGGACCGCACTCCCGAAGAATTCAAAGGGGGTCGGCGGATGTGGCGGAAACCGATACAGTTCTTTTAAGTTCCGCCCCTGCCCTTGCGCGTTTCTTTTCTCTTTGCCAAATCGTACGAGGTGTGGCCGCGCGCGAGCGCAGTCCGCAAGGTGAGTGGGAGGGCGTTCCAGTCCCCATACCAAATGGTGCAACAGGTGTTTCTTGTGGTATGGGAGGGACGGTGGGAATGGGCGGGCCCCGCTGACCAGTTCGTTTGGGCTAACTCGACGTCTCCCCCATACCCCGTTTCCCTGGGTCTGGATGGGAGGGCGCCGCGAGGGGTTAGAGCCTCCAAGATGGCCCCAAGAGGGCGCCGCATAGCCCAAAATGGCCTCGAAGATCACTCAATAGAGCCAAACGTGATCCAAGATAGCCACCAACATGCATCGAACATATACAAGGACCGCCCCAATACGGTTCCAAGTGCCCATGGGGCCTGTCAAGGTTCCACAGAGAAGCCCGAATCCTTTCAGAACCTGAGGAAAGCACAGACTGCTGCGCCTTCTCGCCTTTTCGCTTCCGATCGGCTTTTGAGGCCTCGGGATGGTTCACACATGGCCCAAGGGAGCCCCAAAACGGGCCCAAAACGGCCGAAAGAACGCCCTAATAGCGCCCCGAAATACGACTTCCGAGGGAGGGGGCACAACTGGGGACCCCCATTATTTGATCGATGGCCTCCACTATGGCATCAGATCAGGGCAACTCGCCTGGTGATTATTTTTGGAGTGGCCAGTGGGGATACTTTTTGGGCAGCGGCCGCAGGCGAGCACGCCAGCGGCGAGTCCAGTCAAAGCGGGGCACGCAGCGACAAATTCACATAAAGCAGCGGGGCGCAGCCACACCTAAAGCGGCTAGGCGGAGCCTCACGCAGCACCTCAGCGGCGTACCTGCGAGTTGAGGGGGCTGGCTGAAACTGAGTGGCACTGCCAGCGTGCAGATATGCAAGGCGTCAAAAGCGTCTGGTAGCCAGGAAGAACGGCGACCAGGGACAGAAGCCGAGTAATTAAAGAAAGGGCGCAAGACCCCAGACAACTGCAAGAGTACCAGGGTGGCCGCAGCCAAAAGGACCGACAGTCGGAAGTCGAATTGGTGCCCGGTGTGGGTGTGAGCATTGGCAGGCTGCGAGGAACCAGGGTGGCCGAAGCCGCACAGCCCGACGGAAGCAGAATGCACGAGTACGGGAAGCAGCCAGGCTGCCGCGGCCGGTGGGGATACGCGGAGCGTCGCAAACTTCTGCCGCTGCTGCTCCCCTTCCCATTCGCCCTCCTCTCATCCTGCACTGCCTCCTCGTCCTCCTGCTGCTCTCCATCGATGCTCCCCCTGGAGGAAGTCTCCGAAATTCTCCGCATATGCACGATAGGGTCGCATCGTGACGACCCAGGTGTTGGCTTCTGACACCGAGTGTATGGTTCAAGATTGAGCGGCGGTTTTTCGATCGCCAGATCCTTCCAGATCGGCCGATTCTAGGCCACTGGCAACCTAGAACGCCCCCGACGAGGTCGCCACCGCATCGACATGACGCGAACCTGCCGTATGTAGGAAAAGCCATGGAAACAGCTGACAATCCCGTCCTCCGGCGGGCAACACTCTGCTCCTGCTACACGCGGCCATCGCAATCAACCTGCACCAAACCTGTCTGACAGAAGGAGAGCTAAGCACACAGGAAACTTGCGACTGATATCGATCGGTGAGTAATGAATGCGACGCTTCAAAGCAACGTGCCCAGACCGGACAACCTTCTCGAGGGGAATCCGACCGTGGCGACGAGAAGCCTCCCAGAGGCACAAGAGCAGCCAAACGCAATCAAAGCTCTTCTTGATCCTCGAACCTCGATCCTCGGCCCTCGTGCTCGACCCTCTACCCTCGCTCCCCGATCACTCGATCCCTGAAGCATCGA